CACAAACACAGGTAAATCAGGACAAAAATATTTTTTTAAATCAAATTAATGAATGCTGTAGTAGGCTTGAGTTTTTTTTGTTTTTTTGTTTTTTTTAAATAGTCTTCAAAAAAAAAAAAAAAGGTATTTTTTCTGGTTCCAAGATGGCAAACCTTTGCTAAAAGGAGTACTTCTGGGGGGACAAGGGGGGAGGGACTTCCAGTGGCAAAAGTCAGGGGCTTGGGTGGGACTGCTGCTCCCATGATGGCGACTAGGGGGGCGGGGCATCTGTCAAGGAGTGGATCTACCCTTGCAGCCCTCTACAGCTTGCCAAAACTCGGTAAGCAGCCCTCTGCCAGAAATAATTGCCCAGTCCTGATCTATGCTGTCCTTTTCTGTCAATGTTGCTGAAGGAGCCCGTTTTGATGATTCGGTGGGGCTGTCTTAGAATTAAAGACAGCTTTTACAAAAGTTAATTAGCTATGTGGAGGTGTTCATCTCTGTCCATGTAACTGCAACTATGACAGCAGCAATTTGACAACCCCACCCAAGTACCTCTGAGTTACTAGGAATACACTGTCACTTGCTGTGTGTCACAATGCAGCTCTTTATACGGGTAGTTCTACCATCTGAAATAAGTATGTGCTGGGATTTTTTTTTGTCCTTGTTTTTTATTTTCCATTCAGCTTTTACAAACCTTTACAGAGAACCAGCCATAATGTGTTAATAAGAAGAAGGTTTTGAGTGGCTGTGAAATATTTGGCATCTTAAAGACATTTGGATCGTTGATACCTGGGCAAAGGAGGCCCAGTTTGTGTTTTCGTCAAGGACTGTGCCATTGAACCAGACAGTATTTTGTTCAGTTCTGTAGCCAACTAATAGGTTGTAATAGTTTTAGCCCAGAGAATAAAGCAGCTGATATTTACCAGCAGATTTTTTGGTGGAAAGATATTGTATAGCTTGGTGGTTTAACAGGAAATGTCAGGGGGGCAGCTTGTGCTCTCTGTATATCATTTGCATCTAGGGACTGTAGAGTCCCTAGGGAAAGGGGCTCCTTCCTCCTCTCCCACCTGTTCTCGCAAAATTGGCAGTGGGTTGGGGTTAAAGAGCTTGCAGATCCTCTGAGATCAATGCAGCTCTTGGGGTGGAACGTGGGAGGACAAATGTGCCTTGGGCCAGAGCTACCCTTTCCCTTTCAGAGGAATAGCTGGTATGTTAGCACCGCAGCACAGGACTCAGAGGATCTAGTTCTAAATTAGTGAGCTTGCGGTACCAGTAACAATTTAAACAAACAGCATGGAGCTCTGTATATGTGCTGTAAAACCCACCTGGGGGAGCTGTAGCCTCATGCTGTCACAGCTAAACAGCCAGTTTGTAAACTAGCTAATCTGAGGCTAGTGATCTGCCCAATTCTGCAGTCACAGCAGGGACTGGAGTGCAGATGTACCTACTGCCAGTGACTGGTTTTAACCGACTTCAGGAGGTTGCATAACCAAGGAGGCCTTTCCATCACTTATCATTTGCCTTTTTGATTGAATAATCTAATGCGGGGGCTGGCAACCTTTTGCCACTGTGGTTTGGCGCTGCAAATCTGCCCCTAGAGCACAAGCTTCCTGAGTTTACTTTTGCTGCAGATACCCTGGCTCCTCTGCAGCAAAGGTAGGTGCAGGCAGGAGGGCAGCGGGGAAGGCTGCAGAGGAGACAGGCAGCTGCATTCTTCCTGATTTATCCTCCACCCCCACCCCAACCCAGGCCAAGTCGGAGTTTTCTGAGCCGGATTTCATGACTTTGTGAGCCGGATCTAGCCCAAAGGCTGTAGGCTGTCAACCCCTGAGGGTGAGCCAATCATCCCATTTATTAAAAATAGAAAGGTTAAAGTTAAGTAACAGCAGTATAGGAGAACAATATATCACTCAACTGAGCTTTTAAAGATACAGAAGTTATTTGCCTTTGCATTTCACAAACATCTTTCAAGATGAAACCTGCAACTGTGGCTCATGTGGTGACATTACTAATTTTCAAGTGTTATATTTGAATAAAAATGTATTCAAAGTGGAGAAAATGTGAGGGACATATTACTCTCCCTTTGCATTTATGTAGCACAAAACCAGCTCTCACTCAAAACCCAGAAAAAAATCAGCTCTGATCAAATGCCAAACACTGAAAACTTTTAACTGGTGTAAGGGTTGTCCCTGGGTTAAGAACAACTGCAAAAGGGGCAATTATAATGCAGGTTATGGCAGTGATCCTAACTAGTGTGGGCTGTCTGGTGCTTGTTCTAAATGTGGTGCATCAGAATTAAAGAGGTTGGAAAATACTGACTTGTATGACAAGTAAAAATTTGTCATATGCAGAAGGGAACTGCTTTTTCTACTTAAACTCTGACCTTTTCCTATGGTAATATAGTTGTCAGAGATTCTGGAGTTGTAGGTTGCAGATAACAGAAATATTTATTAATAGATTGGCACTACAAAAGCAAAGTACCAAGTCCAGGTAATATAAAGTCATTAATTTTAGGAACAGTAGGACTTCCAGTCACTTTTTTTTTTAACAGCAGTGTCAGAAAAAAATAAGATTCTAGCCTTGAATCATCTTGTAAGTGTTACCCTACTACCCAAAAGACAATAACAACAAAAAAACCTTGGATGTGTCTCATGTCTTGACTCAGTGCTGTGATTTGAGTGGAAGGAGGGGTGGGGAACACTGATTCATGATTGTTTGCATATACTGATATAGTTCAGTGATGTCTCTACATCAAAAGAATGGGTGAACTACAGATTTGGCAGTCGAGGCCCATGTAGTTATAATGCACATTAGATGAGGTATGCTGTGAAGAGTAAAACTTCTCAGCTTCCTATTTCAGCTGGAACCTGACATACAAGCATCTGAGCCTGCTCCTTTTGCCTGTCAGATTAAGGAAACCTAACTCTACAGTTTGTCCTTGAACCCAGGCTTCTAATGTTTCACTGCTATTGTTCAGGATGTTTTCAGATGCTTTCCATGTGAGAGCAGCCTAGAGAGATTAGAAATTAGACGGAACCATCTTTTTTTCAAAAACAGAGGGTAGTACACCTGGGAACATAATCCACATGGACTGTGTGTCTCCTCCTGTGTTTAGAAAACACAGCATATAGTGAGTGTCTCAATTAAATATTTGTTTGAGGCATTTAAGAAAATTCTGTGAATGTTCCTTTAATTTTCAGGTATAGGGTTTTTTATCCTCATAACACTGTTAAATTCCTGCAAAGGGTATCCAAATCTTCCATTTGCCTTCTGAACAGCATACTTCCAAAGCCAAATGATCCATCACTATTTCTAATCAAACTCATGCATACATGCATGCAAAAAGATGGAAGTTTTGAACAAATGCATTGACCCAAAGCCTGCTTCCATGTAGCCTCAACAATGCATGCCTTGTAGATATTAACCCCTTATTCCTGGTGACTTTTTCATGCACATGTAACACTCAACAATATATGTGGCAACTTCATGTCCAGATTAGCATTCACTATCTCCCCTAAAGGAAAGAAAGACGCAGACAGTATTAAATAGCTTGATTTCACTGCCTTAAAGAACAAATAAACAAAAAGCTGCAAAAAACTCCAGTTTTTTTCTTATGAAAGTAATACACGGGTCTTGCTGAGCTCTAGAGGAGGTAGAAGAACAAGATGAATAGTGTGTGTTTAACACTTCATAAAACTTTAAATGTCTTCTCCCCACTGTATGTGTGCAAGGGCGGATTGATGGGGGGCGTAATACAGCAGTGTGGATGCAGCCCCCTCTTCTGCCATTGCCCCTGGCTGGTCACAGGGCGAGCTGCAGAGCCGCTCAAGCCATAGGCTGCAGCTGTGCAGGGTGCCAGGCTCAGTAGGGGACAGTGGCAGCAGAACTGAAGTTCCTCCTTCCAGTGCTTGCTTCCTGGCTGTCCCTCTGCAGTTGTCCTCGGTTGGCCAGGAGCAGGCACTGGAGGGAGAAATCTGTGAGCTGCCATCAGTGTCCCTGGCTGAAACAGGCATGGGGGGAACCCCAGAGCCACTCCTGCCCCAGGCTGAAGGGAGCAGCTCTGTGGGGAACCGGGCAGTCGGGGACAGCAGTGGCAGAATGCAGGTTCATTCCTCCAGTGCCTGCTCCTGGCCAGCAGAGAACACCAGGGAGGGAGCAGGGACTGGAAGTAGGCAACTCCATTTATAAGAGAAATACTGTGCTATTCTGTGCCTTTTTGCCATATTTTTTTCTATCAAGTAAGAGTACTGCTTTCTTTTAACATCAAAGGACACACTAGAACAGTGTAATGCTCTAAATGTAAAGAACACAGTATGTACAGTTTTCTCTGCTACAGCAGCTGTTTTAAGCTGACTTCCAGGGAAATGACTTGCAGATGGACTACAGTGGTGTCTTTGTTCAAAGGGTATAGATAAAAATCAAATTAATAAGGAAAGACCTTGCAGTTGCAAAATTATTGGCACCCTCCCCTTGAATACACCATTCAACAATACTGTTATTATTTGGGCCTGAAAAAAATGCTTGATTTGTATTCCCAAAACTCACGTCTAGTTGCTGTGATAGAGACATGAACATTTTTTGACCAGATCAGCTGACACCGAAGTTGTATAGTTTCAGTAGCCAAAAAAGTTAGTATTTCTAAATGTCCAGGCAAGCTTCTTTGGGTAGATGTGATGTATGTTTTATTAAACCAACTGAGTAGTTGGAAAAAAGTTGTTTGCAAGCTTTTGGGCACGAACACCCTTCTTAAGTATTTATAAATGTTAGTCATATGGGCTAGGAAATAAAGAGGGAACTGTGTTTCATCTAGGAAATTGTTGGTAATTTAATAATAAAAGGAAGTGGATTACATGGTATTGCCAAAAAACTACTTTCTGGCTTTGATTATGCACATGGCCACAAAGGAGCTGATGGTTGGCTGTTTGAGTTAATTATGCACTGGGTTGCTGCACACAGGTCATGTTTGACAAGCTTGTGAAAAGCAGACTTGGCTGAGCCAGCTGAAATGCCGTGTGCAAAGATCAGTAGTGTTGAATGCAGTTTAGTGAGTGCAAGGGATGGCAGTTGGTGGGAACTATTTAAACTGGGTGCAAGTGTGAAGAGGTGAGTGCAGTGTGCAGCTACTTATAAAGCACATGGATTAAAATTGGGACCTCGGCGTGGGTGCGTAGGGAGGGCACGCTGACTTAAAAGTGACAGCAGTTTTCAAGCTGTCCTAGGATTGTTGTGCTTTTAATACTTGGAACAACGTCTCTTGGTAAGGTCTGTTTGGTGTTACAGCACTTGAAGCCGGGAAAGAAAATGGAGAGAATATCAGACCATAATTTGAAATGGGAGAAGTCCTCTCTGGCTACTTTAAACAGCAACAGCATAACCCTGGTGGCTGTTCGTAAGCAGCAGCCAGCTACCGATGTGCCTGAACTACTGATTGTCAGTGAAAAGTCCAAGCCAGGATCTCCTGTAAAGGTGCACAGCAGTTTTCAGAAAGAAGAGAGAGTTTCACAGGGTTGCTCCATGGGGGTATCAGAAGTCAAGGCTGAGCAGGTCAGTGTACTATAAAATGTAGTTTGAGCTTGAAGAAAAATGTGCTGAACACCAGATATAAATCAATAGGCTTCAAGGTTTTATGCTCAAAGTTTGATCGTCTCCCAGGCATGTTGTGGGTCATAAATGCCATACAAACAAGATCCTCTGAAAAGTAATCTGTAAAAGAAGGTTGTTTTTTTTTTTTTTTTTAAATAGAAGTAGTATTATGTAACTTTAACTAATAGGTGTCCTTACTAGCCAGCTCTGCCTATAATAATGTTGTATGTGGGTTTCTAGTTGTTAATAACAAATAAAACATGTTAATCTTTCCTTCTTTTAAATTGTACCATTTCAATGAAGTCATCGGATTGTGGTTAGGTTATTCTCTGGAATGAGAGAAACTGTCTGAATAATGAAAAAGATCATAATTATAGGTAAGTAGCTTATCTATCATTATTCGGTTGATACTGGCAAACATTCTTAATACTACAGCTGTGGTAGCAGCCTTCTCCCTCCTATCTGGTCCCTAACTGTACCTTAGTTTTGTAGATTAACTATTGTTAAGAGAAAGTTACTATATTTTGAAAGATGTGATCTTGTAAAACATGATGGAGTTTACTACTAGTAGGGATTTTTTACTGGAAGAAGATGCAGAAAATTGGTAGGCACGTATGAACTGATCATTGGACAAGGTTTTTAAAAAAACCTGTTATGTTCAATTAGTGATTCTCAACCAACCAGGGTGCTGTGGCACCCCAGGGTACCTTTTAAGATCCTTTCAAGGTGCATTACGGTGCCAATCAGTGTTAGCACTGTTCAGTGTGCAAACATGATTCACAAGATAAAATCAGAAATTTTAAATAAAAATCCATAGTGTTAAAATGATTCTGACCTGCTGTGGTCTTTCTGAGTTTTTTTGCTGCAGAAGAATTGTTCTATTATTTTTCTGTAGTCAAAAAAAATGGTGAAAAGTAAGATCTTCTGAAGAGCATCTCGAGCTGAATGAGGGTGTCTTGCTTCATTCTAAAAAGGCTGAGAACCACTGCTTTAAATACCTAAAAGGCTGAGAACCACTTTACCACTGTAGCTCAAGTGACTTGAACTATTAACACTGGAGCAGAACGCAATGACCAAGTAAACCTAGAGCCTTTTACTGTCTATTCTATGGCAAACATTTGTAATATGAAAAACAAATATAACATCAGTAGATTTGTTCTGAGAACTGATTTCTTTGATGTATAGAGTTCAGGTATTTAACATGAGAAATGTATTGTGTTACCTTTTGTATCTGAGCTGTGAAAATTGTGTACAACAAAGCTATTATTTTGAATAAGAAATTAAAAAAATTGACGCAGAGGCCTTCTCCCCCCTAAACAAAGCTACTTAAAGTAGTCCATATTTAACTACACTGAAAGGCACTGAATTGAGTCTGTGAGATGCATTAAACATGCAGTATGTGGTTTGTCCTTTCAGTAAGACTTGTTATAACTACTTAAACATTCCCATTGCTACACTGAGGATGAGAAAAGTCACCTCCCAAAGCTGTTTTGTGGCTTAATTAGTAAAGCTTAGTTAAGTTTCTCCTTAAGTATGAATTCCACTGAACAACAAATTCCTGGTTTTGTTTTTTAAAAGGACCAAGGGTTGTAAAACTGTATTGTTATTAATAGCTACCAATAATAAAACCTTATATTATTTCCTAGTTATGTTTTGCTGTGTGTTTTAACTGGGGAAGAAATGTCTGTTGTGACACTCAGATCTGACAGATTCTGAAATTGTTATTGTTCCTATAAAGGATATTTTTTATTTTAAAAGGCTCCTCTATTAGAGGTGGTGCAGCCTATTGAGAGGTGTTGGTGTATAAAGAAAGAGTCATTATTGCAGTTTGCATGGGAAAAGGAATTGCTACTGGGAGTGCCTGTCTCCTGGCAAGGAGTTTTAAGGCTTCTGTATCCCCCTGACTCTTCCCCGGCCCTGTACTAGGACTGTGCTGGGGCAGAGGGCAGCACTGACAGTCCGGTGGCTTGGCTGGGACACTCCAGGGAGGGTGGTTTCCTCCATCACCAGAGCTGCAGTTACATCAGCTGTGATAGATGGTAGAGCCCCCAAGGCAGCCCACCAGCTGGTGGTGAGGTCTGACCTGCCTGAACTTTGACTCCTGTCAATCCTGTGAATAAGCAATGCATTGTGTTTGGATAGGAACAGAGGAGGGAAGTGGCCTATCCTGGAGCATGTGGTGACATCAGCCTTTCTTGGTCACGAGAAAGTCTATTGCCATGACACCCAACACATGTCTATAGTTCTTCTGTGTTGTCCTGATGGCATCACCAAAATGCCACCCTGCTGCCACTTCCACTCTGTAGGTGCCAAGCTTGGAAAGGAGGCAGCAAAGAGTCCTTGAGAGCATCCCTCCCTGCTTAACCCTCTGTCCACCGTCCCACCTATCCCCCTGCTGTGCTGCTGTCGGGTATCGAGAGCAGTGGAGGGGATGCTCTGCTTCATTCCCAGGTTTGGCTCATGCAGAGCAGGAGCTGTGTGGCCAGGATTTGGCTCTGAGCAGTGCCCTTTGCAATGCCAGAAAAGGGGGGCAGATGCTGCATCAAAGTGTGTGCATCAGTGGGGGTGGGGGAAGTCTTAGGAAATAGGTGCTGTGGATTTATTAAGTACTGACTTTCATAAGTTTTATTCTGTGCCCTCCTCCACCCATAAGTTGTCTGTTCAAACCTTTGGATTTAGTTGGTGCTTACTAGTGGGGAAAGTATTATGTGTGAAGGGCACCAGATAAAATAACTTCCTGGTGTTTTTTGGGTTGGGGCTTGAGCCAGGTGGTAATTTTAAGTTTTCAGGAGGGCTCCTTAAACAGCTGGACATTATCCTTTGTGCTGTTGACAAGCCCTGGTAGCAGGGCTACCTCCTTTCTGTAGGCTCACCTGCATAAGGGAGGTAGCTGAATGAGTGGCCATTGGAGCCTGTCTGGTGACTCTGCAGACAGTAGTGTTAGCCATGTTAGTCTGAAACCAGGCAGATTCATAGCATCTGAAGAAGTAGACTGCCACCCAGAAAAGCTCATGCCTCTCTGAATGAGTTAGTCTCAAAGGTGCCCCCCTGCCCTGCCTCCTGCCTGGTGAGTTCTGCATAACAAGTGAAAGGCTGGGGGAGGAAGTGGTGCTATGAGCAGAGCTGGTGGTTGGGAAATAAGCCAGACCTGACTACACGCTGGATCAAGAGGGTAAATTTCAGGCAGGTAATCATGCATAAGACTCTGTCTTGTTCTTATATTTGGCCCAGCTTTGTACCTGTGGGTGACAGAGTACATAGTGCTTTGCTTTGTTTGGAGAGCTTGTTATTTTTTGAGTTCTTTTAATGAACTGCTGTCCCACGCTGCCAAAAGGAACCCCTTGCTGCTGTAGGCCTAGTTGGGACCCACGGGGCTGTTGCTCAGCATCTGATCTAAGAATAGACAAGCTGGAGTTTCACCCTAGGAGATGTAAACACCCAAACCCTAGTGCCTGGGGGATGCTGTTGTAAGAGCCTAGAAAGGGACATTTGTACAGCTAAGTACCCTGTGACACCCCCTCCACCTCCACAGCCAACATACTTTCTTTTTCCCTCCATATCCCCCAAGGCCTGGGCCTTATTCACAATGCTGGTCACCAATATTTCACGAGGCCTTAGCCTTCTCTTACATAATATATGCGTTGTGGTAGGGCCTATGGGCTTCAGCACAGAACCAAAGCTTCAGGATGATTCAAACCTCAGCATGAGTTTCTCATATGAATATGAGAATAAGCCCGAACAGCTTAGCATTTAAGCCAGTGGTGCTCAACATTTTGGCCCCATGCCCTAGATGGGTGGCACAGGGTCAGTCTGGGCTGGATTGGGCCCCACAAGCAAGAATCAGGCTTCACAGTGCCTCCTCCCAACCCTGCCCACTGGGATTGGGCCCTGCATGGCCTCAGACAGCTCCTGTATACCTGGGTCGGGTCCTGTGCCACCCTCCCCTGGCCCTGAGTGCCAAAATTGGGCCCTGTGAGCTTGGAGCAGGCCCTGGTGCCCTGTGCTGCCTCTGTCCAGCTCCGTGCACCAGGATCGGACCCTGTGCCAGTCTCACATGCCAAGATTGAGCCCTGGCACCTTGTGCCACCTCCTCCTGGCCCCACATGTGAGGATTAGGCCCCACTGCCCTGCACTAGCTCCTCATGCTGGGATTGGGCTCTATGCCACCCCACATACCCAATGTAGCATGCAGGGCCATGGCCAGCCCATGAGTCTAGAGATTTTAGCTGCTGGGTAGCAGCAATTAATGCTGCCACCACTCCCCCACACCTTGCCTCTCCCCCTTCCCCAGATCCCAACAGGCAGGATCATTTCCTGGGGCTAGATCTGGCCCATGGGCCAGGGATTGAGCAGACCTGGTTTAAACTAAGGCAAGACTCCCATTTCCTTATGCAGAATTTCCTCAGTGTGCTAGTTGTTGGAGCTGTGCCTCTCCTCTTTACCAGCCTTCAACTTGGGAGTCATGGCCTCCTTTACCTTTGGCGTAAGGTAGCCTCACATTACTTTGGAGTCAAAGGACCTAGAAAACCTGATACTTTGTGGTGGAGTGGTGGTAGAGGGGGAAGACTAAAGTATTGGTCTAAAATCTAGGGAGTCCTTCTTTTGTTTCAGGTTTCTGGTATACTCAGGGCAGGTAGTTACTGTCAAATGAAATAATAGTTTCTTCACAAGTACTCAGGAGGTGACACAGTACCAGCTGGAAGCGCTTCCAGATTTTGGCTGAGCATCAACCACCAAAACTCCAGGCTACTCCTGTACAGCACATTAGATTCTACATTTGTGGCACAACAAAGGTGATGTCTGTTTGCAACCTAAGGTCAGCAGTGGCTTGTGACAACAGCACTGAAGGTACATTTGGGAAAATATGTGGTGTGACAAAAATAAGTCTCCCCAAGTAAAGCAGTCAGTCTTTGCTAGTCTTTCTTTGTTCTATCTGAAGACCTCAAGAAGCACATAAATAA